AATCTCCAATTTCCCCCTTTCCTTACTGTTCTAATATTATAACCAACAAATATATATTGTTAAAATTAAATTTCAACTACTTGCCTACAGCTAAAATCATCAAAATTTGTCTTTCATTTCCATAATTTTTCTATTTTTATTGTTCTAAAACTGCACTACACGAAAATGTAATGATACGATCACAATTTATACCAAAGGGAACACTGATTTATTTCGTAAATTGTACAAAATTATTTGATTATTCTAAACTTGACTTGATTTATATTTGATCCATCTTTTCCTGGCCATTGGAATTGATACGCCGCCTCTGTCTTGTGTCCGTACCAACGAAGATGCCCTTGCTGCACAAAAAATAAACGAGAATATCGGTCAGAGACCGAAGACTTATCGATCGAAATTTAGGGGATCCCAAAACAACGCTCTTACTCCATAATTACACCTTGTGTCCCATCACTAATTATTTAATAACTTCCTAATGATACGACATAATTCGCCCAAAATCAATAGGCTTCTGGTCCGTCCGATATGATGAATACACATGCAAAATTTGGAGCAGATTTAACCACGCCTTTGTGAGATATCGCGAACATCTAACAGAAAAACAGACGGACAAACAGACAAATACCTATCAACATACTTACCGATTAGAAACGATAATTAATAATATATATGAAGCTAAGTATTTTCAAATATCTGATGATTTCAGAATCGAATCGAATATTTTTTCGAATCGGTAACTAGGTATATATAAGATTTTAATATTTATCCCGGGAGAGAGAAAAGCCGATTAGACAAGGAACCTCCTGAAGTATGCGCACTCAGATGGCGCACAACCTGAACTCAGGTTGTGTACCAGGTTAGGGTTCAGGTTATGCGACATCTTGGTGCGCATACTTCAGGTATACCCTTTTTTATCATATGACGAACCACGGCCTATCGTCCGCTTACTAGTCCATGTCGGTTATGGGCTTAGTTAGCCAGTTATTTGTTTTAGATGTATTGACTATGAAGGTACATGCCTGATAGTGAAATATTGATCATTTCATTACAGCTAACAAGCCGCTTATAGGAAGTAAGGTACCGCTTTTATACTGTGACCATTCCAACAAGGCATCGCAAACCACTTGGTTTGATTTCCATACACATTCACGCGCAAGCATCAAAAAAATATTTGCTACTACAGAGTGGTCGCTAGAAAAGCAGAAAATTTTAAAGTCAGATGAGATCACGAATAAAATGCGTGCTTACTCATTACTTATCGATTTTAATCGGTAAGTATGTTGATAGGTATTAGTCTGTATGTCTGTCTGTCTGTTAGATGCACGCGATATCTCACGAGATTTAATCTGCTTCAAATTTTGCATGTGTTTTCATGATATTTCGGACCAGAAGCCCATTGATTTTGGGCGAATTATGTCGTATAATTAGCGAGTTATTAATTAATTAGTGATGGGACACAAGGTGTCACTATGAAGTAAGATCGCTGTTTTGGGATCCCTAACTTTCGATCGATAAGTCTTCGGCCTCTGACCGATATTCTCGTTTCTTTTCGATACGTTTTCATTTCTTTTATGTTCTAGGTAGATTTAGATTGAAACCTTTCAAGATTTATCTGATTTCTATTTTCACATCAACATCATGAAAAAACAACTTTGTAAAAGTTATTCTTTGTAAAAATGAATAGCCGTTTGACAAATTTTCTTTTTTCCTGGCGACCACCCATTTTAAAAGAAAAAGTCATAGATAACGGAACTGAACTGCACTAATTTTTTCACTCGCCTTGCATGGGGCGTTCTTTATGGGCGGGAGCTTGGGTAATCCTGGTTGCTGGACTTTAGTCCAGTCATGTAGTGCGTGATGTCTATCCATATAATCTGTTCGCATTTGTGACGTATTGGTAACGTAAGAATGCAGAGAATCAGATGGCTGACGTGGCCCAATTGGCACCGATTTCAATAAATGTATGCCCTGTCAAAATAATTTGCGTATACAGAGATTGAGGCGGAAAAATGAATCATCACAAATTCTTGGTAGAAGAGAAAGGCGTGTAAAACGTCTATTCAAGGAAGGGCGAGGATTTTGGCACTTGTGGCCAAAAAATTTGCTCATGTAGACTGGCGGGCCATGTAAGTGTGACGTAAAATTTACATTTTATGAAGAATATTCAGTGTTGAAAAATCAAAAATGTTAAACAATAAGACTCGTTTTAAAACTAAATTTATTTGCAATCTCAACAAATTTCTTGAGCTATTTTTATTTGAAACAATTTCATTTTAGTTTGGTTGTGGCAGCATCAGGCGGGCCAGATTGAATTACTCAACGGGCCGGATTTGGCCCGCGGGACGTAGTTTTCCCGCGTCAGGTCTATATAGAATATTGAATATTTTTTTTTTAGATAGTCAAAGAATACTTCAGTTTGATCAGAAATTTGCCCTGATGTATCATTTAAATATTTACGATATTTACGTATATATATATAATTTACCATGATGTTCTTTAGTTCGCATTTCCTTTGCTGATAAACTTGATTGGTTAAAAAACTGGGCGTGTCTCCGAATGATGCTTGATGAACGGTCAAAGGGCATTTTCTCTCTGTTCGATGAAAAATCTGGAAAATATTTTTAGCTGAGTACAGGATTCAATGAAAAGATTTGCGGGCAAGCGTGACGGAACGGAGTGTTCCCATATTTCATGAAAAGTGTTCCCAGGAATTAAAATTGAACAACAAAATATTCGGTGGAATATCGAGTTCCATAGGACTCAGGAATAATTTAGAAAAACAAACGAGCGATTCCTAAAATATGGACACGAAAACCAAAACGAAGTATTAAGGAAACTAGAAAGGAATGGACCTTTCCCCGACCATCGTCTTCCTTGTTTAATTCGTGGCATTGGCCAATCAGCAAGATGCAAAAAGTGACGTAACAATGCTCCCTTTTCGCATACGCTCAGACAGATTTCCTCGTTATCGCGTTTTTGAACTCTATTCGTTAGTTTTCAGTTATGTTTCGAAATTTAAATATAAATCAGATAATTCATTGATCACTCTGTCTTCTTAGGAGTTTTAATTTAATTGCAGTAATGAAAAATTAGTGTAGAAATAGCTAGCTAGAATGATAGACTAGGCTAAAATTCGTTACAGGTACTTTTAAAAAACAGATTGTTGTATGCGATGAATCATAATGATGGTTTGAAACAAATACCCCATTTTACAGGCGCCAACTCGCGAAACCACTCTTAAAATAAGACCCAAAAATTTTGCAATGGTAAAGTATAGCGAGATTTTTGCGAGGGTCAAAGGTCGGGGAAAGGTCCATCACATAGAGCCCACAGAACTTTTTGAAATAAATAAAAGTAATAGATTTTTAGCAAAAAATCAATCTTTAACTACTGCAAAGCAAAGCGATTGGTCCAGTAGCAAAGCGGATTTTCCATAACAACAAGATCCCCCCCCCCCTCCCCCCCACTGCTAGCGGGTCCGATCAAACGCTGGAATACGCGTGTTTTTATTAGTCTTGTGGGTCTAAAAAGCATTTCAAGCTACGGAAAATGACTATCAATGATACAGAAAAATGATTTTTTTTTTTTACTTTTCAAAAGGAGGGGGAGGGGGGTCGACCCGCAAAACCACCCTCTGGCTACACCACTGGCTATGTCTCTGGTTAGCGGTATCTGGCGTAGTCTGATTCAGGTCTGATTTATCACTTACTTCAGAGGGTGGCAGTTGAAACCTTCGTTGTCTGCATATTATTTTCTTTGGCATGTTCAATTCAAACGTAGCATGATATGTTGTTGAATTTGGGATCTGAAAAACGTTTGTTCACTTTACTCATTCGTTTGTTAAAACTTTTGTGGCTCAATTTTTGAGACGCAGTCCTTACCACTTAATGGCAGCTCCTGCCACGAGTGTACCACGCCTTCTCCTGCCGTGGTTTTATGGCGTTATTAGCGGTATATTTACAAAGTCATGTACAATATTTTAGTTTATCATGCGTAATTATATCTACTTGAACCTAAACCTAACCCCAAATCCACCCAAACTGTATCCATAAGAAAAATGTTCCAACTTACCCAATATTTATCACCATCAGGGGCAGCCCTGCTATTACAGCCGACATGCCGTGGTTACGGCAGCAAAATGGGTGGTATTCGATTTGCTGCCGTTACGATGGCAGCCTGCTGTTGGTTTGTGGCAGCTGAAAGGTCAGTCCCCGTGGGTTTGGTCATAGCGACCATGGTTTGGAAATCCCATCATGGTTTTGCGGCAGTTCTAGACGCCACGAAATACTTGAAACTGCACTTGCAATTTTGCTAACTTTCGCAAACTCAGACATTCCGGATACTGTAATTAATCACAGCTGGGATTTCAAGCAAGTGTGCTAGAAGCAACATCGCAAACCCTCGACTAAAATAGAAATAGTACTGGCAGAAGAGTTTTGAGAGCTTTATATAGCTTGAAAAAATTCTTCAGCAGTTGACACTAGACTTGAAACAATTCAAGTTAATACTGTCAGGGGAAGGACTAGGAGGAAACCAGTCTCACGAAGCGGTCGGTTTCGACTTTCTCTACCATCAAATCCATGCTTTCGAAAACAAATAACCGGTTAACCATACCCGACGTGAACTGGAAAGGTAGGTAAAGTTGGGTGTACGGTATTAAAATTTGTTTTTCCCTTTTCAGGTCTCCAAGTACTGTTATCGCTATTTCACGAAGCCGTAATATAACCTGTACTGTGGCTCACCTTATCATATCCAAGTACGACGCTTGTCGTGGTTCCTGCCTTGGTGCTGATGATTGGTCTGTTCAGTGCCATGGCGGTTGATTATCTTTAAAAAAATTGAGCAAAAATGATTCTAAATCTCAAATCGGAGGAATTTGGCCTAAAATTATACTTTACATTATTTATAAGGCTTAATTATTGCGCCATAAATAAATTTATTATTACGAAATAATTAATTGTTGAGTAACAATGCTATTTTATTGTTTGTGAAACAGCTGATAGATTTTGTTCAATTTGAAAAGATTTTTGCAGCAAGTTAACGCTGTCGCCTGCTACCTATGTGTGGCTGTTTTCAACAAGTTTAGCTTAAATTTAGTTAGGTATTTAGGGTTTTACTGAATGTACAGAGATTTTGAATAAAGAAGTTGCCGTGAAAAGGATTTTTTGCTGATTAACTCGACAAATAACCAACAAAATGTCAGGAGAAGCTCAGGACTCGCAACCCATCTGGACTCGCCCATCGAGGCATAAAAGAAAGAGACGAACGAGGGCGCAGTAAGTCTCTAAATTTATTTATAGCCTTTCTAGTGTCTTTCCATGGCGCAGTAAAAAGGATAACGTTAGTTTAGTACTTATAATGCTCCACTATTAATTTCTTAATTCGCTTTTCTTCCATTATTTTAGGCTAGGATTAGACAGGTTATTGTCCTACACACTTAAGATAGGATTTTACACATTCATCTTGGGGGAGAGGGAAGCAGATAAGATGGCTCAATCGTATGACGAACCACGATATTCGTGCAATTGCCAGTCCAGGTCGGATATGGAATTAGTTAGCCAGGTATTTGTTCCGGATGCATGGACTTGATGGTGAATGGAAGCCGTAACCGACTAGCAGTTCCGTGAACCACACTATCTGTGAAAGGCGAGACAATAATAAACTCGTTTTATTTGTCCTAACATAATGATATTGTGACAGTACCGATAGTTTATCGGGAGCATTATTGGCAATTGTAATCATTTTCAAACGTTAAAAAGGATCAATCGTAATTTTAAGTGTAGTCTCTACTCATCGCCAGAAGTTGAACGGAGCGTGACTTGACAGAATAGTCTCTTAGTAACGAAGCAATGCTGTTATTTTACGCTTCATTTCGGATTCGAGAATTGAGTAGTTTGGTAAATAAAGTCGTAATAAATTTGTTAATCTGTGTAAGTCTTTAACAACTTTCTATTAGCCTACACTCCAGTCCATCATATGAACTGGAGCGTGTGTGGTTACTACGGATCGCAATATATTTAATATACTAATACCGCTATTTTACGTCTCATTTCGAATTGAGTATTTCAGTAAACAAAGTCGAAACAAGGAATAACGATAATACTGCGAAGAGTCGTGAAACACTTAAAAGCCGGCAGCGTTCTGTTAGTCCACGCTAAAATTGCGCAGATTTCGGTTTATGTCCGAGCTTTTAGTTCACGGTGTTCTACTGTTTGCGTGAGTCCCGTGTCTTCGTAACATACGATATTCTGATGGAATAAGGTTTGTAAATTCAGTTTTCTGGTTTAGAACTCGAGGCAAGCCCCGAAAATCTTAGCCGACATGGCTACCGACAACGATAATCTCCCAATTATGGGCCTAATACAGATACGAAGTTTGTTTTGATCACTCTGATTTGCATTACAAAAACAAAAAATCATAAGACACTCACAATGTGACGTCCTAATCCGATCTGCCCGGTCGTTGATTATTGATTGACCATGCCTGGACGTAATTTTTTTTTTATACGTCTTATACACCTTTCACTGCGAACAATGCATCTCTGAAGCTACTACAAGTTTGGAAGAGCGGAAATCTTCATTTTTACATTTACCAATTCATAGGGTGGCCATGAAGTCTTAAATTTTTTTTTAAGTGCAAAGGGAATTTATCGATACCATATATTCTTTTAGTACTCACAGATGTATTAAATGAAGTAAAAATACCTAAAAAATCACTGATCAAAAAACAATAAACCCGGTAAAGATATATTGAGAACTGACTTCGTAACAAAACTGAAATTGTGAAGGGACTTTATGGACACCCTGTATTACACCCATAAGTCCAACGCTTTAACCACGAAGCCACCGTGTCCAACTATTATCCACTTGCGTCTATTGTTTTCACATTTGAATTGGTCTGGTGTTACGTAAATTGCGGCTTAAGTTAGGATAGGGTTCATACATTTATCCCGTTGAAGAGGAAAGCCGATAATACGGCTTCATCATATGGTGAATCACGGCCTCTCGTCCGGGTACCTGTCCAAGTAAGATATGAGATTAGTTAGCCAGTTACTTGTGTTCGTAGGCATGGACTTGATGGTGAAGGAAGCAACCGACCAGCGGTAACGTGAACCACGTGTTAAAACATATGCAAAGTTTATAAATGCGAATTCACGAGAAACTTCTCAATACAAGCATCAAAAATTTTGCAAATGTTATTAGGCCACGGGTCCGAAATCATAAAATCTCGTCCGGTTACCAGTCCACGTAGGATATGGGATTAGTTAGCCAGTTACTTGTTTTCGAAAGCATAGACTTCCGAGGCATAGAGTTGGCGGAAATGGGCGCTGGAACCTAGATTTTAACCCGTGATGACGGCATAGTTACGGTAAGACTAACAATTCAACGCTAGGCCACCTGGTCCATCTATGATTCACTTATGTCTGTCTATTGTTTGTTCATTTTGAATTGGTTTGGTGTAACGTAAATCGTGGTATTTTATCAAAACATCCACAAGACAATAAAACGCTCATTGTTTTGTCTCGTAGCATTGTGGTCACGAGTAACTCGACACTCGAGTGGAATATTCCGCCTAGCATTAAGTTGTCGGGTAGTAACGGACGCCTAAAAGCTGTTTCGCGTGTAGAGTAATCGCTTTGAGCGTGTAGCTGGCAGGAAGGTAGCAATAGGGATGGATATATGACCCAAATTGATAGTTATTCGAATGTTCTTCTGAGGCAGGGTTATAGGCATCATGTTAGGAAATGATGTCGCTATATTGTCCAAGTCGCTACATAAATAGCCGCCTCTGTAGAGGTTATTAGGCCGTTGTATGGAATAGGGGTATGTATATATGGTCCTGAACGCTTTTGAATGGCATACTCTGTAGAGAGAGACTGGACGGCGATATAAAAAGTTAAGAATAAAGATTGGTATGTGAGTCCAGTCGTCTATTAAATGACCTTCTTCGTAGAACAGTTAGAAAAAGGGATGAATATAAATTGCCTAACGCTATTCGAATGATATCTTTCGTGCTTTGCTGTCCGTATTAGACAGTCATAGGATAGGATTTACTCATTCATCACGGGGAGGGGAAAGACGGCAAGACGGCTTAATTTTATGGTGAACCACGGCGTCTCGTCCAGTTGCCAGTCCATGTCGAGCATAGGATTATAGTTGGCAAGTTATTTGTTTTTGGAAGCAAAGACTTGATTTTGGAGGAAGCCGTAGCCGACCAGCTGTTACATGAACCACCCTACGGCAACAAGGATTCCAGTGATTCTCTCGCATATAGCTATGTGCGTATTTCCAACGCTTAGCACGTCTGCCACACCGCCATTATACAGACAGCGAGTTTTCGGCGGGATTGACTTTGATATAATCTAAGGCTTTAATATATTACTTGACATACTGAAAAAAGGAGGCACGCTAAATTATGCATACGTAAAGCCGAACTACTGATGTCAAATTACCCAAATACGTTGTTCAACTATTAGGGTAGGATAGACCATAAATTACTACTTGATTATTGTAAACTGCTTGTCTGAGGAAGTCTGATTTTGGTCAGACGAAACGTTACAAAAATACATTTTGTGTTAGTCTGCAGCAGGACTCTTGAATTGCATAATATGGTAATGCTATTCCTGCTACGGCATTCTTGCATCATACGCATACGGATACACTAGCGCAAAGACTTGTGGAAGGATCGGGAGTTATTGTCTCCCCTTTTTAGTTCAGACTTCCAGACAATTGCTCATAAATTTTTAATCGTGTTTTGATTATAATACGATTATTAACGATTTTCTATCGGCGGGAAATAGATTTTTTAAGTTTATCGTAAAAGTACATTGTCCTCATTGAAACGTGATAGGCTACCAAATTAACCGTACTCCCGAAGTATGTGTACCAGGTTAGGGTGAGGCCGTAATTATATTCCGATTTTCTTTATTTTAGTTCTATTACGAGTTCGGGGACTATCTGTGTTATCCAAGTGAATATACCCCTTACCCATAGGTTTCATACTTTCAGTCCCTTTACACAAATTAGTGTAAACTAGACAAACAAAATTAGTTAATTCAATGACACACACTTCTGGAACGGCTAATAAACATCTTAACAGGGTGGTATGAGTTAAGCGGGGTAGCTAAAGTTCTCAAATCTCGAGTCGCGGGTCACTTTAGTAACGAGTTGGAGGCAAGTTTCTATTTTAGAGCAGAGCTTCCCAAACTGTTAAGATCGCGACCCCTTCCAATGTATAGGGTGTCTATAAACTCTCCATTTTTTTTAAACTGCAAAGGGAATTTATCGATACCCTATATTGTTTTGGCCCTCACAGATGTATTAAGAAGTAAAAATACTTGAACAATTACTGATTAAAAAACAACAAACCTGGTTAAGATATATTGGGAACTGACTTCATAACAAAATTAAAATTGTAAAGAGACTTTATGGATACTTTGTATTAAAATTTTCCGCGACGCCCTAAGCGCGACTCTTATCGGGTCTTACGATCAAAAACGGTATTGTTATGCGTGCGCCGCTCCTCTGATCCTATAGATTTTATCGAAATCGTGAGATTTATGTTTCGCACAAATTTTTCAATTGTGGTTCGCATCAAAAGTCTAAAAAAGTGCAATATATATGATACTTTGTGTGAAATTAGTGTACTCTTTGCGACCCCTAAAATTCATCTGAGCCATGAGTGCTAGAAGACTCTGGAAGGGAGCCACGGGCTATGAAAGGTTTGGAACCACTGCTATACACAGTTATGAGTACGCTTCTCGTGGGGCAATCGAAATCATCTCGCACTATTCGTGTACCACCTGCTAAGGGAATTTTAACAAGTATATCGCGCTCATCTCCATTAGTTTTAAACTGTGAAATTGGCGAACAAGCGTTTCCATGCTACTTATCTCAACCTCACGCGACATCCAAATGCATAATTCATGCGTAAATGCCCAGTTTCAAAGCCATTGCCGTTGAGCGAGTGGCGCGAAAAATTGTTTCCGTTAAAGATTATTCTTTCCAAGAAATAGGTGTTACTTTAAATGTTGTGCTTTCGAGTGGGTTTCTATGGGACTAACTACCGGTACCTATCCTTCTTCTATTCTTTTGTGCCGGGGGATCCGTATGCATATAATGCAAGGATGCCGTGGAAAGAGGGAAGATAACTATCCTAAGTTATCCAAGAGTCCTGCTGCACACTAAAACAAATATATTTCTGAAACGTTAAATAGAATATATCTGTTGTATTCGAGGAGAAAATATGACGTTGAATTTGGTGTAAATTTAGTAATATTGTCCGGTTATTGGGTATTATTGTAATATTTATTTAAGCACTTGTTAAAAACTAATGAAACTGTAAAAAAGTGAGAAAGCAAGTTTAGCATAACCCTGGCTATATAGCAGAAATATTATTTTGTATTCGTTATAGTTTTACTAATATTGTTTAGTTAATTAGTATTATTATTACAATGTATTTATGGACACGTACACGTTATATACAATTTAAACTACAAAAAGCCACAAGGCGAGTTAGGCATAAAACACTAGCTACTACAGAAATATTATTTCGTAGTAAGTGTAGTTTTGTTAATAATATTTAATTATTCAATAATATTGTAATATTTACCTTTGCGCCTATTGTAAACTAATGAAACTGTACGAAAGTCAAAAAGAGAGTCGGGCATAACACTAGCTCATGCCGGATTACACAAATAAATTAATCGGTGTAGTTTTACTAATATTGTTCAGTTATTTAATATTATAATATGTATATTTATGGACACATTATTAACTATTTAGACTACGCATAACAGTGGGTTAGTTATCTTTTACGTGAACGGGATTCAAACTCGCAAACAAATATTTAAGATTTTTATATGTAAAAAATTGTTGATCTAGGCCTTGACTTTGGTCAGATAAAACGTTACAGAATTAATTTTGGCAAAGAATCTAACAATATCATTCTGTTTAAATACGTATAACGAGATTCTAAGTCCTAACACGCGTATCATTGCAACTTATGATGGAATAGCGAGCGCATTCTCATATCGCTCATCACAATGCGCCAGTCAACAATTTTAGACTTCGCTGTTCGGCAGTTTCTTGCTACTAATGTTGTCTTTATTGGTTCAAATATAGTTTCAGTATTAGTCACTTCAATTTAGAAACAAGCAATATGCATGAAGTTACCGCTGACGCTCGCCCACCTAGTATCAAAGAAACGAATGTTTGATTTTAAGGCCCCGGATGTATTCGTACCAAGATGACGCACAACCTGAACAACCCTAACCTGGTACAATACTAGGTTCAGGTTGTGCGCCATCTTGGTCCACATACTACGAAAGTACCGATTTTTGTACTTATTAAAGAACGCGTATAGGCAAAGTTAACCAGCGCTCAGTTAGGAGTTTAATCTCCTTTATTTTTTTAAGTGTGCGAAGCAGCCACGGTTTTTGCAGGACGGATTCCATTTTTTTTTCGATTTTTAACTGTATTCACCAAGATCCTTATCCGGGGCACGATCTATTTGCTCGAAAATATCGATAATGTAGTTGTCCGCGGCGATACTGTCGAGTTGACCCTTGAAATCCCGCCAATATTTGAGTGCGACGCTTAAAAACACCTTAAATCAGTTCAACTTTTAAACCATATTAAATAGCATTAATCCATCCATCGGCTTTCGTCCTATATAATAACAAAAGCATGTTCAGTGCAAGACTATTTTCTAATTATTAAAAATGCTTAAAAGCACGCCAATAGCATTGATTTACACGGGCGCTGATCTATTATGTTACAATAACAAGGCGCAATACGGTTTTGGTAATTATTGAAAATGATAGATACACGGTAAACCTCCGCTCAGTTATCAAAGGCATTTATACAACCCTTTCATTTTGTCTAGTATCTGAAGCAACCTAGTTTAAAATATCGTTTTTTGACGGACTAAATCCATTTCATTTGTTTGCGCCTTTCGCTGTATTTACCAGAGATTCTTATCTTCTCAGGCACGATTTACTGCTAGGAAATAGTGACAAAGGTGAATTGGCCGTTGAGAGCCCGCTAATTTTAGAAAGTGATTGGCTACGATGAGCGCGTATTTCAATAAACTATTGCAAGTAAGGGTAGAGGACGTGGATTCAAAACCCTAATCGGACTAAATTCAGTGTTTTGCGCCAAAGTGAAACTGGTCGTTAAGGTTTAGTATTGCCATATATATTTGTGACTGACTGTCTGTTCAGAGCAAATTGTGTGAAAGAATCGTGTTCAGACTGACCGCTCTCTATGTGGGGAACAACTTACGGTACCTATTATTGAATGCACGTCTACTGTCACATTTGGTGCGATTTTGTTGAGACAATCTGTACAATACCAACAGCGCTATCCATTAGTAGCTACTTGCATAGTATCGTTTTGGGATTTTACAAAAAACAACATAAATTTCATGTGCTCCAGAGGTATTTGCATAAAGATGGCGCACAACCTGAACATAGTATGTGTACCAAGTTAGGTTATCAGGTTGTGCGCCATCTTGGGGCACATGTTTTTTTTGGTGAATGCTCTCAACTATGATTGCTTGCCCGATGCCTTGCTTGGAGCCATGGTATGAAGAAACAGTGTATGCACTAAATTACTGCTTGCCTAAGGCCTTGTTTGGAGTAGACCTGTACGAGCGCGTTATTGTACATTTTTAACTTTATCGTCAGTTATGCTTGCCATCTAGGTAAAATTTTGATTGCTCCCGTAGTATTTAGTTCACAACCTGAACGTAGTATGTGAATGTGTACCAGGTTAGGGTTATCAGGTTGTGTGCCATCTTAATTGGTTGATTAAAGACGGAAAAGAAAATAAGAAATAAATCAGCTTTATTTTGGGCAAAATAACCCCAAAATTTGCTCTTGCTTTTGCAGAATTGATTACGTCGAGATGTCTGTCAGGTACGGTTCAATAAAGCTTCAAGTTCCGCATGGATTTAAAAGTCTTCTGGAACATCTAGCAAGGGAGATACTGCGTGAACAACCCAAGAATATTCCCGAATTTGCCGCCGCATATTTCAAGCATTTACTGCAGAAGCGTGAAGGTAACAAACAGGCATTTATCCCGGGGAATCAGAAAGCCCATAGGACGGTTTACCGTGTCTAACTTCACACTAAAATGATATAGAACTAGAATGATTTTATTTTCCTTATTCTGTATTTACAATGTATACTTCTGCATGAAAAAATAACCACTGACTGACTGACGGCTTAATCGTATGGTGATATGAACATGACGTCTTCCCGACCGGTTACCATTACATGTCGGGTATGGGATTAGTTATCCAGTTATTATTTGGATATGATAGGAGGATTTACATATTTATCCCGGGGGAGAGGAAAGCCGATAAGACGGCTTAATCATATGGCGAACCACGGCCTCTCGTCCGGTTACCAGTCCAGGTAATGGGATTAGTTAGCCAGTTATTTGTTTTCGGAAGCATGGACTTGATGGTGGAGGAAGCTGTAATCCGACGATTTTCGTTACACACGTCGCACCATTCGGACTTGATTGCTCACAAGGTTTATCCATCGTTATTCCTAACGGGTGCGCTAGGCACATCGTGCTTATCGCTAGAAACACGGTTGCCATGGCAAATTATTACACTGTAAGGCTCTTGAGAGGTTCGGAAGAACTGATGTACTCACTGTCGTTGCTTGGTTCCTAAAAATGCTGGCTGGACATAGTTTTATATTCGTCACTGTAGCGCTACAATCTTTCAACATTGTTTTATATTTGTGTTAATGTTGCCATTGCATCTGAAACCTATACCATAAACTTATAAATATCAACTATTCTATATCTGAACTGTTTTGGTAACCGGTAACCGTGGTTCGCCATATGATAAAATTGTCTTATCAGGTTTTCTTTCCCCCTGGGTTAAATATAAAGGATCCTATTCTATTATTATGGGTCTGCTGACCTCCAAACAGGACCAGACTGCAGCTTGGGATTTAAGGCTGGCTTTTTTATATTAGGAGGCCCCCAGTCATTGATAAATGCTCATTCCATTTCGAACATAGGTTTTGGGCATTTGACTTGAATGTATTCATCTCTTAGAAAGGAAAAAGGTACCGTAGTGTGTGTACCAGGTTGGGGCCATAATTTCATTCTAATTTTCCTTATTTTAGTTCTATTACGAGTTTGGGGACTGTCTGTATTAGCCAAGTGAATATATCCCCTGCCCATAGGCTTCTGTCCCTTCATACAACTTGATGTAGAGTAGGTGAAAAAAATTAGTAACCTCCCTTGGTACACACACTTCGGGAGCGCCAGGAAAACTGACAAGGTGGTTTTGTGAGCCCGAAGTGGTGAAAATATTTGATCCATTCTAGTCATCTTCATCCTAACATTATTCATCGATTTCTAGATGGCCGTGCAGATGAATACTTAGTGAACGAACGAATAGTAGAATCAGAAGTCACTTTACCAAGCGCAGTGGAAGCAGAACCAGAGCCTGCACCACAAAGTTACGAAGTAGTCACTCAGGAACCTGTCTCAGCTCCGGCTGAAGATGAGCAAGTTACTCAACAAGAAGAAGAAGAAGAAATGCCTGATCTTGGTGAGTTGTTTCTGCTTTAACCATTTTATAACCAAAAGTGAAAATACTAAAAGGAACTAGTCAATTCACATTGGTTTAGCTTTTTTGAATTGTTTACATCCATTATTAATTGATAGTCAATCTTATACATAGTGGTGAATATTGGGGGGACTCTGATGCTCTAGGCAAGCAGTAACGGAATTGTATTCTTCCGATTGTCAAAAACATCGCACAGTATTATTTATTGGTTCTCCTCATTCATCATATCTGCGTAATTCACATTGGGTATGGATTAGGGCAGCGGTTCCCAAACTTTTCCTTTATGCTGCGCCAAATTATCGGGGGAAAAACTCATGACGCACTTCTCCCCAAATAAATTGCTGACCATAACTAAATGTAAATTTTGTGATTGTAAATGTGGATTTTACAATGTTCAAAGTTTGTACACATGTTGACCTAAAGAATAATGGCAATGTCAACAAAACAACATAATGGCACAACATTTTGAGATCTTAAAATCGTGTTGTGCCAATCAATGGTACGCGACATTACTGGGCGCAGTTTAAAATGGAAGCGATTTCCTCATTTGAAATTATTGTATTTAGAATGTATATAAAATAGTAGGGTATCTGGTGTTGGACATCTTTATGAAATAAATTGCACGGGATAAATATTAAAATCATTTTTTTTTCTCAACAGAGGATCCAGAGGTACAAAAAGCAGCTACCATGATCCAAGCCTCCTTCCGGGGATTCAAGACAAGAAAATCAATATCACCTTCCAAAGCTCCTGTGAGTCTCATTTTCTAATTCTTTACCCATCTGTAGACTGCATGAGTTTGAGTTTTACTTGCTCTAGAAAGTGTTGTGAGCACAACCATCACTATACTGCTGGTAACCCCTCACAAGGTCGCAGGTTCACATGCCATGACACACATCACCCTCTTACTTGGGTTTAGAACAGGAATGTACAAAACATATTGCATATTTAAATTGCTTTGAAATTCTGCGTTTTAGATCTTTGAAATATTAGGTCCCTATTAGTGTGTTCAAAAACCATATGATAAAAATCTGCAGCTGTGGCAAAGGATGACCAGCAATCTGATGTGAGCATGCCATAACACTTACCCTAGTGTTTCACAACCAATTTAAATTTAATTTCACCTCATCTAGAAGTCTATTCTGTAGAGCGGTGTTTCCCAACCAGTCGGAGGTATTTTCAAATGTTACATACAGTTTTCGATTTGATCGGGAAATTATGAAACGATGTAACAATTAGAATTATGCATCCCTATCAGACTTGATCTGATAATACCCAATATGCAAGATCAAGTTTCGCATTAATAGTAAATTGCATTGTTTCTTTTCTGGTATAATAATTGTGAGTGGTACAGGAAAAACGGCCATAAAAGTGGGTCAAAAACTAAGAAATTCCAATAAAAGTTGGTTGCGAACTGAAAAAGGTCGGCAAGCACTGCTGTAGAGTGTTTTCACTAATTGCATGCACACTTGCTGGGGCTGAGTGTCTTTTGAACATTGCAATTGGTTTCACTTTTGCTTAATCACTCTAATCTCCCCAGATTGGGTTTTCATATTGTTAAAAAAAAGAGGTGCTCCCGAAGTATGCGAACTAAGATGGCGGACATCGGAACGTAACATGGGTAACAGGTTAGGGTTAGGCCATAATTTTTTTCCAATTTTCCTTATTTTAGTCCTATTATCAGTTCGAAGACTAGCCAAGAGCCTCCCGTAGTATTTATACCTAAAATTATGGCCTAACCCTAACCTAGTACACATATTACATTCCGATGTCCGCCATCTTGGTTCGCATACTTCGGGAGCCCAAGATATTTATTTAACCCTTTCCGTGCGGTGGGCACGTATACGTACCCACGACAAAACTCGCTAGATTGCGGCGGGTACGTTGATGTACTCCAATGTTTTATTTAGCTATCGGTCGCAAACTGTTGGTCTAGTTTTTCCGGGTTTTAGTTTATTGATAAGAAGTCTTCTTCGAGATTAACATAAGCGACGGTAAATCTCGCTTTCGTTTACCATGGGAATTTTATTTGCGGCGGAACGAGGGAGTGTTTTTGAAATTTATGCAAATTTCGGTGATTTTTGGGTGGTAATAGAAGACATATTATCCCTTCCATCTACCAAAGTATTTTGAGTTAGATAACGAAATTGCTACAGCAATATTATGCTATTGTTTGCCAACCAAGAAGCGGTAACAGTGAGGATTTAGCGAATATTTCTATTTTTTATCACGGTTTGAAGTTTCAACACCCAAGAAAAAAAAATGCCCTTTTTCTATCCGGTTTGTGACTCAGGCCACCCCTTTTGAAAAATTTTTTTTTTTCAATCGCCAATTGCAAGCTCTTCAAATAAGCTTTCCAACGAGCCGTCAGTGGGCAGCAGAGTATCATTATTTTTTCGTTAGTCGATCGATTAGTTGTGGGGGTACAAATGCATAAAGTCGGCGTAGCAAATACGATTATTTTATAAAAAATAAAAATCGCATGGAAAGGGTTAAATTTGAAAGCCATGAAAATTGAGCCTTAATTTTCTAGGAAGAAACTTAATTCAATCTTCTACATGGCAGCTTCTAAAAAATCTCTTGCCTGATGTAATTTTATATTAGTTATCATTAAAGTTATTGCTTGTAGTGCCTAACACAATATGCTTTATGCTTATAGACCAGAGGTGTGCAACAGCCGGCTCGCGGTCTCGGGTTGCAACCCTGCCCACCATGCCATTTACTGTGGCCTTGTCAACACTCCATCGAGCATAAAATCCTGATCCGACAGGTTTATGTTTAAAAATGTTGCACATCCTGGGTTAAATAAACACCCCTGTTATAGAGTGTAGCACAGGGTGGTCCAAACCCAGGCCCGCGGGCCACATGTGGCCCGCCACTTCATTATCTGTGACTTGCGCCGCATTCGGAGAGGAATCAAAAATCGCATTTTGTGTTGTTTCGTCATAAAATTAACCGAAAAATCTTTTGACATGTTGTTGCATCACTAATGTCACTAAATTGACTAGTGTTATGGCTTGCTGAGGCAACTAGCGAAGTTAAACGAGCAAAGTTCTTGGCACTATTGTGGCCCGCGAACAATGCGAAAGTAATTTTGTGGCCCGCGAAGCTGCCAATCTTGGACCACCCTGGTAAAGTGCAATAACATGTCACTAACAACAGCTCTTTTTTTCTCATCTACTTTTGTGTGGACCACTAACATCCGCTTCACAATTGCTATGTGTGCTTGATCATTTTTACAATCGTGGGAACAATTATGGGGTCATACAATTGTGACATCATCAACATGATGACATCAGACTCAGAAAGATATAGAGCAGTTACAAGACCAAGCTTGCAGCAGTTCTTCGTTCGAGAGAACAGCAAGCGACGCAACAACAGATAAAACAGCTTTAATAGAAGCTCTTGTACAATCAGGAGAGAGTTTAGATAGTATCGGCCCTCCTAGTTCGTTATGCGTTGTGCAGAGCGATACGCAACAAATAGAAGAGTTGAACGCGCCAAGTGAATCATCCCTTGTTGTTAGAGAGACGTTAGATGCAGCATCACAGCCTGAAAGTATACGCAGACACTCAGACATTGGTCCGCTGGAAGTGGTGGGACGCCAGGCTCAATCGAAGCCACCAGTAACATCTTCACCTGTTGTCTCCACCCCACAGAAAGTTTCTGAAGTGCCCATTGAGCCCATCGAGGTCCAAAGTAGGAATGATGCTGAATTAGACCATGCTGCTGTGTGTCAGTCATTGGTCTGCACCAAGACAGGTCTAGATGCAGCAGAGCCTGCTGAAGAGCCATCTGCTGCTGAACCCTCAGCCGCCGAAGAATCTGCGGTTGAACCAGTCGCTGAAGAGTCTACGGCTGAACCAGATACTGAAGAGCCTGCTGCCGAACCAGCCGCTGAAGAGCCTGCAGCTGAACCAAATACTGAAGAGCCTGCCACAGAACCAGCTGCAGAAGAGCCTGCAGCTGAGAAGCCTGCAAACGAACCAACCACTGAAGAGCCTGCAGCTGAACCAGCTACTGAGGAGCCGGCAGCTGAACCAGTCGCTGAGGAGCCTGTATCTGGACCAGCTGCTAAAGAGCCTGCAGCAGAACCGGTCGCTGAAGAGCTTGTAGCTGCACCAGTCGCTGAAGAGCCTGCAGCTGAACCAGCTATTGAAGAGCCTGCAACTGAACCAGCTGCTGAAGAGCCTGCAACTGAACCAGCTATTGAAGAGCCTGCAGCTGAACCGGCTGCTGAGGAGCCTGCAACTGAACCAGCCGCTGAAGAGCCTGCAGCTGAACCGGTTGTTGAAAAGCCTGCAACTGAACCAGTCGCTGAAGAGCCTGCAGCTGGACCAGTTGCTGAAGAGCCCGCAGTCGAACCAGTCGCTGAAGAGCCCGCAACTGAGCCAGTCGCTGAAGAGCCCACAGCTGAACCAGCCGCAGAAGAGCCGGCAGCTGAACCAATCGCTGAAGAGCCTGCAACTGAACCAGCTGCTAAAGAGCCTGCAGGTGAACCAGTTACTGAAGAGTTTGTAGCTGAACTAACTGCTGAAGAGCCTGCAGCCGAACCAGCTGCAGAAGAGCCTGCTGGTGAACCAGCCGCCGAAGATCCTGCAGCTGAACCAGCCGCTGAAGAGTCTGCAGCTGAACCAGCCGCTGAAGAGCCTGCAGCTGAACCAGCCGCAGAAAAGTCTGCAGCTGAATCAGCCGCTGAAGAGCCTGCAGCTGAACCAGACGCTGAAGAGCCTGCAGCTGAACCAGCCGCAGAAGAGCCTGCAGCTGAACCAGCCGCTGAAGAGCCTGCAGCTGAACCAGCCGCTGAAGAGCCTGCAGCTGAACCAGCCGCAGAAGAGTCTGCAGCTGAACCAGCCGCTGAAGAGCCTGCAGCTGAACCAGACGCTGAAGAGCCTGCAGCTGAACCAGCCACTGAAGAGTCTGCAGCTGAACCTTCCGCTGAAGAGCCTGCAGCTGAACCAGCCGCTGAAGAGCCTGCAGCTGATCCAGCCGCAGAAGAGCCTGCAGCTGAACCAGCTGCTGAAGAGCCTGCAGCTGAACCAGCCGCTGAAGAGCCTGCAGCTGAACCAGCCGCTGAAGAGCCTGCAGCTGATCCAGCCGCAGAAGAGCCTGCAGCCGAACCAGCCGCTGAAGAGCCTGCAGCCGAACCAGCCGCTGAAGAGCCTGCAGCTGAACCAGCCGCTGAAGAGCCTGCAGCCGAACCAGCCGCTGAAGAGCCTGCAGCTGAACCAGCCGCTGAAGAGCCTGCAGCTGAGGAGCCTGAACCAGCACTGCAGGAATCTGAAACGGTAATAACCGGGATTAGGGAGGGTAATAACAGGGACTCTAGTGGATATTTAGGAGGTATTATGTTTGATTCCTGGTGAGGTAACCAATAAACTTTGTAGTCTAGTAGATGCATGCCATTTTGAATTTGCTTGTAGATTTTGTAGGACAATATCACTAATCAGTAATTTGCTTGCTTCATTAATTCTATAAACCTCTTAATAATAATTGTTTCAACTCCTGGCAGAAATTTCCATCTTATTTAATTCATTGAATTATGAGCAAAATCTGCTTTTTATGAATTGGCAATACTTTAAATATTTCATACAATATTCCTAAATTTTACTTGAACAGTACTAAGTATAATTGTCTTATTCCGCCATGTTGAACAGGACAATTTTTCTAAATTCTCTAAATAACCCGAATACTTGTGTGATGTTTTTAGCGACTGCAAAAGACATGACTTACTATGACAGTTGCCAGTTTCATGAAAATTAAAATTCATTCTAATATTAGAAAGAAGACGAAACTGCAGAATCACAACCAGCACAGGAAGAGGCTCCCGTTGCTGCCCAAGAGGAAAAGACGGAGGAAGCAGCTCCAGAGGCAACTGAAGGAGGTTCGATTAGTTATATTGAGACAGGATTTTCATATTTTTCCAACCTACCAGCGATTAAGTAAACCACCTTATTGGTGTTTGTTGCACTGTCGGAAAACATGTGTTTTCTAACGACGTGAATATCTAAAAGTGTACCAACCTGCGAAAAGTTGCTATGAATGATACATAAAAATGTTTTTTTTTTAATTTCAAAGGGGGGGTTATGACCTTTCACCTGTACCTGGCCGGATTAAGTGATCAATTATTCACTCAGAGTGCAAGAACTTGGTAATTGAATTAAAATACTCTGTCTTTATATCTAGCCATCCCAGAAACAACAGCAGAACAAGATGAGACTCCGCCGGCAACAACTGCAGAAGAACCACAGGCGGAAGCAGCTGAGGAACCACAGGCCGAAGCAGCCCCAGCAGAACAAGTTGAAGCTGATGTAGAACTTATCCAATCTGAGGTTTGTTTGGCATGACAATTCCAGCTTTTCATGAGTTAGCTCAAGCTTGCCGAAAGCGAGGTCACCAATCCTCAACTAAAATGAGGAGACCTTTGGAAGAATAGTTACAAGGGTCTGTGTTATAGGGCTACAAGATATTATCAATGAGTTTATCAATAGTCTCGGTGGTGTGACGTATCATGCGAAGCCTTAAGAATTCGCTCGCCATTGCATCTCTGGTTGCCCTGCCCTAGTAACTGGATGGACCAGAGGCAGCGATTTTCCATATGATTAGGTCGTCTTATTATCTCTCCTTTTCTCCAGAATGAATATGAAATTCCAAGTTTGAGACGTCGACATAATTAATGGGGTTATACCCAGTAGTGAGATTCAGCCGGTTCGCACTGGTTCTATAGAACCATCTCACAGAATTTTATGAGATCAGCGAACCGGTTAGCATTACATGACTTTCCGTGACAGAACCGCCTGAAAATATGACATTTTTATGATGGAACCGGCTGACAAAAAATTTGAATCCCACCGCTGTGTATATCGTATTTGGCGTATCGTATCGTATTTGCATCTCTGATTGCCCACCACTGGTTATACCTAACTGACGTCACACGCTATTAAAGATGCCAGGTTCGAGTCCTATGTTTACCACCTCACTCAGGATGTAATAAATTGAGTACTCAAAAAATAGTACATCATTTCGTATCAGTGGTTACTAGGTTTTATTCGGTGAGCAAGGTATAAAAAGCGCCAGAACAAGGCAACATGAACTCGCTCAGAAGGAAAATTATTGGCAATCACTAAAATGCAGAGAACTACTGAACCCATATAGAACTATAGTGATGCATTATGTGAAATGAGAAAGAATTGGATTTTGATTAAACATAACGGGGGAGAGGAATAGTTACCGGTTTGATGATAGTGTAGGAATTACATACATACCGGGAGAGAGGCTTATATGGTGAACCACATCATCTTGTCCGGTCACCATTCCATGTCGGGTATGGGATTAGTTAGCCAGTTATTTGTTTTTAAGCATTGGCAAGTATATTGCCAACGTTAGCACGATGCCCCACACCGCCGAGCCAGGGAAAGGCAAGGCACGGACGGGTAAGACGCTAAAGGGGCTCAATCCATATTTTCTTGTTCAGTTGTTGGTCTGTGCTGTGTACAGAAATACTTGTTTTGGTTGCATTAGCCTAGACATGAATCCTTATTTTCTTTTATAAAGGCTCCAGCAGTTGTGACAGGAGAGACATCGGCAGCTGAAACAACTGATGCCCCTACTGCAGCTGAAGAAACAAAGACAGAAGAACAAACTGAGGTTTGAAGGCCTGATTTTGATAGAAAAAATTATTAAATTATTTCACTTCACATCAGGCTCTAGAGGAGGATAAGAGAAGGAGGATTTACATATTTCTCCCGGGGGAGAGGAAAGCTGATAAGACGGCTTATCCATATGGCGAACCACGGCCTCTCGTCCGGTTACCATTCCAAGTCTGGTATGGGATTAGTTTTATTGTTTGTTTTCGGAAGCATGGACTTGGTGTTGGAGGAAGCCGTAGCCGACCAGCGGTTACGTGAACCACCCAACGACGGAGAGGAGTCCAGCAATCCTCTCGCACATAACCATCCCTGCATGGGATTTGAACCTGCGAACCCACGCAGAGTAATTAGAGGTGCGGTGGCGAGCGTATTCCTAACGCTTAGCCCGTTGAGCCACACCGCTGCGCCCTAGACCTGACATGGACAAACTACGGCCCGTGGGCCAAATCTGGCCTGTTGGGTAATTCATTCTGGCCTGCCTGATGCTGCCACAAACAAACTAAAACCAAATTTTGATGTTTTAACTAAAAAATGACTCAAGGAAATTATTGTGATTGCGATTAAATTTAGTTTCAGCACGAGGCTTATCGTTTTCCACTTTTGCTTTTGCAACACTGTGAATAGTCTTCATAAAATGTAACTGTTATGTCACACTTGCATGGCTCGCCAGTGTAGATGGGCAAAATTTCTGGCCCTAGTTCCGAAAACCTTGCCCATTTCTGCCCTAGACATATATACAGGCCTGGGAAAAAAGGAGTCTAATGACATTTGAAGAAAAAATGATTTGAATCGGTGGTGGGATTCAATTTTTTTGTCAGCCAGTTTCATCACAAAGGTCATATTTTTCACCCGGTTCTGTTACAAACAGAACATTTACAGTAACAAGTAATGCTAACCGGTTTGCTGATCTCATAAAATTCCGTGAGGCGGTTCTATAGAACCGTTGCGAACTGGCTGAATCCTACTACTGATTTGAATTCACGATTGAGGCATCACCAAAATTACATAAGTGAAAATGTTTTTACATTTCAGGAAGTAGCCGAGCCTGCTGCAACAGAAGTTGAGGCTGAGCCTGCGGCAGCAGAAGTTGAGGTTGAGCCTGCTGCTGCAGAAGTTGAGACTGAGCCTGCTGCAGCAGAAGTTGAGGCTGAACCTGCAGCAGCAGAGCCACAAGCTGAAGAAGCTAAAACAGAGGTAAGACAGCAAGCAAAGCTACGTTCGATCTTACATTAGACACATTCTATACCTTTATCTACACAAGGCCCTAGACATGTGTAAATATATACTGAGTTGGTGGACATTCAAAATTTGAGTATCCGTTAAACAATATTTATATGGGTGTAGCAGGAAGGATAGGATCGTCGCAATCTGACGTATATTGCTCTTGTTAGACCATGGGCATCTCACAATGGTATTGTTGTGAGACTGCCTCACCACCGCTATCTCCATGGTTAGTGAATTAGTGTAGTTCGGGAGTCATCTTTTCTTTTGTTACGTGAACCACCCTACGACGGCGAGGAGTCCAGCCATCCTCCATTTTTTGTCCAAAATAATGACATCACATCTCTAGTTTCAGCCATCCTCCAGTTTTTGTCCAAAAAAAATAAAATCACCTCTTCATCACAGGAACCAGCAGAAGAAACAAAAACTGAGGAACCAGCAGCAGCTACGGAGGAAGAAAAACCTGCGGTAAGTGCAATTGTACAAAAAGTTTTGGCGCTCCAGAAGTGTGTGTACCAATATGGAGGTAACTAATTTTGTTCGCCTACTTCAAGTTGGGTAAAGGGACTGAAACCTATGGGCAGAGGGTATATCCACTTGGCTAACAAAGACGATCCCCAAACTCGTAATAGAACTAAAATAAGGAAAATCGCAATAAAATTATGGCCTAACCCTAACCTGGTACACACACCACATGAGTACCATATTTTTTACTCTATATATTATATTTCATACTATGTGGCTGCTTTTATCTAACTTTGTTCGGAGGAAAATGCACGAGTAAGCATTGTATTACATCATAATACAAAAACAAATTTGGCACCCCCCCCATCCGATATTTTGGACTGGCTAAGATCTGGAAAGGACAGGTAAAGATGTGGAGTGGATTCATAGCTCAACAAAAAAATTAAGGTTTTTGTGGCTTCATAAGATGCTATGGATTTCTATACAGAGTTGAGTTAAAGTTTGGGTTTTCTCATTTCTGCAAAAAATGTGGCGGCGCTAAGCATTAGGAAAACACTCGCTATCGCACTATTGATTCCTCTGCGTGGGTTCGCAGATTCGAATCCTATACATGCATAATTTAATGCGAGAGGATTGTTGGACTCGTCACTGCTGTAGGGTGGTTCACATAACCTGTGGTCGGTTGGGCTTCCTCCGCCATTAAGTCCATGTATTTGATAACAAATAACTGGCTAACTAATCCCATACCGAAATGGACTGGTAATCGAACAAGAGTCCATGATTTGCCATATGATTAAGCTGTTTTATCAGCTCTCCTCTCTGATAATTATGCAAATTCTAAATGCTGAAATAAAGTTTTCATTTTATTTCTTTATTCACAGGAAGTAACAGAAGAAGCTAAAGCAGAAGAGCCAGCAGCTGCAGAGGAAGAGAAACCAGCGGTAAGTTGACTTTGCATAGATCTCAATTGCAAATCCAATGCCCCCGTGGGATGGGATTGGGTCGGTGGTGTGGCACATAGTGCTTCGCGTTATGAATATGTGCCGAACCGCACCTCTGATCACCATACTTCCTCCACTATCAAGTTCATGCATCTAGAAAAAAATATTTGGCTAACACGTCATTGACTGGTAACCGTATGGGTGGCGGTGATTTGCGATATTATTCAGCTGTTTTATCACTTTTTTTCTCCCCCGGGATAAATATGTCAAATCCGCACCCATCCATCTGAATCGAGTGTAATAAATTGGGTAGGCTATTACCTGCACGTACCAGATCGAACTAAACAACAAAAAAAACATTTTGTGGGCCGCACCTCATGCAGAATTGGCACTTCTTCGCCGGCCACACAATTTTTCCCTGTGGGTGTATTTGGTTGCACGCCCCTGATGTAGCACAATAACTGTTGAACTACCTTGAAAAAAATATATTTTACAATATTCTTTACAGGAATCTGAAGACAAACCTGCTGAATCTGCTCCAGAGGCTGCAACTGAAGAGGTATGAGCTATTTCCTATACAATGTACCGGTAGCTTAGATTTTATTTCAATCCATGGTCGTGTGTGTGAGGGAACTAATTTAATTCTTTTAGGTGCGTGAAAACGTACCACTTCTTTCGGCAAAACCTTCCAATTTAAAATCTGTACGTTTTAAACCTTACTCAGTGTTTTGTTTGCTCTCCTGACTTCATAATTTATTTTATTTATTTTTTTATCAATTATTTCATCCTCTGTTATGCTGATTATGGAGTTAAAATAAACTTATACCTATAGCAATATCAGAAGTAACTGTTCCCTGTTCAAATAAAAATTGAGGGCCTGTGTTTTTTTTTTCAAGTCCTAGGTAGGCATGGGAACGGTTGACCATCTATTTGTCCCTGATGAATTAACTCTGTAGTAAACATGAGGAAATCGTACCCGCTTAACATATCCTACATTATTCATACAGAAATCAGAAGACAAACCAGCAGAACCTGAATCCGCTCCAGAGGCTGCAGCTGACGAGGTAAAATATTTTACTGGTTGCTCTCCCTGGAATAGGGGTGGACAATAACACGAGGGCTGTATCCGGCCAACTTGACTCTACTGAAATTATGACTATATTTTGATGGATATAAATTTTCTGTTGAAAATAATATTGAATCGTCTGGTATAACAAATATTGTAATTTCCCACGCTCTGAATATCATGTGTGAAGCAAGCCACATATACCCCATCCTCGCCAACCCGAATTAGTAATTAGTGGAGACTAATAAAAGCGAAAGCAAACAGCAGTCTGAGGAATTAGCACAAGCAGTTTAAAGTCTGATGGAAACAAGCATTTGGACGCATGCATCAGGCTATGTCAGTCCTATTAATCATTGTCATACTTGGTACACAAGCTCGCTTATAGTATAAGACATAATAAGTCTACCCTATTAATACAAAAATTTCTTATTTCAGACTAAACCAGAGGAAGCAGCACCAGCAGCGGAGTCAGCTGAGCCAGAAAAGACTGAGGAGGAGCCCGCAAAACAAGAAGAGAGCCCTCCGGAGGCTGAACAAAGCGTATCCATGGCTGAAGAAGCAACATGATTTTAGTTTTCATAATTTCATTTCTTTAAATCGCACTGTGTTTTTCTTTCAACCCAACAAATTTTGTCTTGTTTTTTTCGAGCGAGCAAACAAAGTAAAAATAGTGGCTGAATTTGTAGTCCAGCTTATTACTCAACAATAGCTTTCTTGGCGCTCCCATCAATAATGAGTCTCCTTTGCTTCCGAATATGCATAACCGTCCTTTGGATATTCTCTGGAAAAATGATAAGTTTTCTTAATGAAGACTCGAGTTTTTGGATGGTGGACGCCATTTATCTGGAATTTTTTTTTCAAGATTTTTTTTACGCCTTGTATACGAGCAGCATTTATATACATTGGGACAATCTCCTTTCCAGGGGCATAGCCAGGAGGTTGAGTGATTGCCATGTCGTCCTGTAAAGAAAGCATTTATCTGTATCATACATACCGGTAGCAATTTTTAGTAGCTTGCAACGCTTTTTGACCCTCAATACCTGGAAATTCACACGATTATCTAGCTCAGGGCTACTCAACTGGCGGACCGCGGTCCGAATCCGGATCTTTCGACTATTTGATTCGGACCGCACCCAATTCTTTATTTTGGATCATTATTCTCACTTTTAAAGTTTCATTTTATAAAATGACATTTATTGTTTTGAATAAATATGAAAAGAACTGTAACACCATAATAAACAATCTTGATTAGCTAATAATAATCGTTAGCCAGTCGAGGATGTGCGCGTTTGCGGATGCCGAAATATAAATTATGGAACGCCGGACCTAAAAAATTTTGATGTTTTGTACGAGGGTCTTCGGTAAAAATAGTTGAGTAGCCCTGATCTAGCTGATTCAGTCTAACTTGGCAATTAGAAATTACTGGCTACGTCCCTGAATTAAATAAGCCTGGAGAACAGAATAAAACTTGCTTATATAAACCTTGTTTGGAGTGGAATGAGGGAAACCCTATTTGCGTTCTTGTGTTTTATAGAAAATTTGTTGGGTTCTGTATTATAAATACACAAATGTAAAGTCACTGTTTTGTAATATAAAATAAGCAGATGTTGTGTGTCATTTTATTAACAATTTCTAGTTGGTGATTAGACAGAGCCCACACACACAGCCAGGGTGGTTGTTTTGGGGGTTGGACCCCCCCCCCCTTCACTTTCACTTTTGAAATAAAAAATAGCATCTTTCTGTATCATGCATAGTAATTTTTCGAAGTTTAAAACGCTTTTTAGACCAACAAGATTCACGGAAACACGTTTCCCGGCGTTCGGCCGGACCCCGCTAACTGTTTCGATCTAACTTGGTATATAGGAATTTTAGAACTCGACATTTAAAAATTTTTGGATACGCCTCTGTCCACACTATGTAGATTGTTATGGGCAAGAGGATTGCAGGACTTCTCTCCATTGCAGGGTGGTTCACGTAAGAACCAGTTGGTTAAGGCTTCTTCCACCACCAAGTCCATGCATCTGAAAATAAATAACTGGCTAAGCTCATACCCGACCAACATGGACTGGTAACAGGATGAGAGGCTGTGGTTTGCCATATGATCAAGCTTTATCATTTGCTTAGAAAATTTTATCTTGTTCCGCCCTCCTCTGTTACCTACTTGCTGAATACCCAGTACCACTTGCAAGAGATAATCATTCATCCTCCAAAATATTTACTTCCTATTGTAAGGAGAACTTTCATATTCCGTTTTGACTGCGCTCCCGTAGTATGTGCACCAAGATGGCAGACGCCGGAACGTATTAAGTGTACCAGGTTGGACATAATTTCATTCAAATTTTCCTTATTTTAGTACTAGTGACTCTCGTGGTATTTCCACCACATTACATGAGTACCGTTTTGACATCACACAAGCTACAAACAACCACACTTTCCAATATAGAGAATGTTTAATTAAGCAAAAGAAAAAGGTTCAAGAGTAATAAAGAAATGATAATAGACCACAAGAAAGTATAAGCAGAATAGAAATATCCCAAACTAGCAAAGTGGAGATTTTATTTCAATACTCGAGCATACAAGCCTACCTACAACTCTGATAAGGATCTGGAAACGGGTTCCTGGCTGTGATTCACCAGGGGGTGCGGTTACTGGATCATACAAGGATACACCTCTGGTAAGGTTCTGGATGCAGTTCAGAAGGGCAGTTATAGGTAGCAGTATGAAGTCCTGTTTTCAAACGGTCTCTGGTATCCGCACCCTCTGCTGAACTGGGGCCAGAACCCTGTTTCCAGTTCCTTATCAGAGTTGTAGAGCTGGTAAGCCTTGCATGTTTTCACTGTTATTGAAGTCCTGTTTTCAAACTGTCTCGACAGTCAGAATATGCTTTTGTTGTAGTAATTAATTAATTAGCGTTTTCAAGAGATAAAGAAGGCATGCAGACACTTCAATCGAAATTTTGTTTTATCAGGATTGGCAGTCGGATTTAAATTTTCTTCATAATAACCTGAAGTCAACAGTCAAAATTTGTAACCAAGAGTTGTTTCTGACTCAAATTTATTCGTACTCTGTGGTCACAGGGGGCAGTTGTATAAAGTGTGAGGGCTGGGGTGAGCACTCAGTTTTGGATAATTTAACTCAAATCAGCACAACATTGTAACGAGAATATCGGTTGGAAACCGAAGACTTATCGATCGATAGTTAGGGGATCCCCCAAAACAGAAACTGCAGTTTCGATTCATCCGCTCTTGTAACTTGCGCACTGCGCATCGCACACACACACTCGGCGGGTTTCAAAATTCTCTCGCTTTACAAAAATCTAGATCACTATATCAATAATTGATTGATAACTCGCTAATTATACGACATAATTCGCCCAAAATAAATAGGCTTCTGGTCCGAGATAAGATGAATGCACATGCAAAATCTGGAGCAGATTCAATCTCGCTTTCGTGAGATATCGCGTTCATCTAACAGACACACACACAGACAGACAGACATACATACAGACAAATACCTATCTTAAGATCGATAAGTAATTACAGATGGCAGTAGAGTATCCATTTCATTGCATTCCGACTAATTCATCACACAGTTTCATCAACTCCTTGTTGTCATCTTTCTTGTGATCAAGTTCAGTCTGCAAACTTTTAACTCTCAATTCGACAGTACGGATCTTCATTTGTATGTTGTTGAGCTAAGAAATGAAAAATATGATGAGGCCATGTTTCCTGAACAGGTAGATCCATCCCAGCGAGGAGTTATGGGAGTAATTTTTCTTTGTATTTGCTGAAGTATTACTAATATTTTTTATTACTACAGAACAGTGGCATAGTCAGGGGGGTGGTTTTGCGGGTTGAACCCCCCTCCCCCCCCTTTAAAATGTAGAAAGAATAAAATTATTTTTCTGTATCATAGATAGCAATTTTTCGTTGCTCGAAATGCTTTTTAGACCCCCAAGACTAGGCTACTCGATTGGTCCCGTTAGCAGTTTCGATCTAACTTGGCAAAAAAAAATTCAGAACCCCCCCCCCCCCTTTTTAAATTTTGGCTACGCTCCTGCTACAGAAATACTAAGATACATTATAAACTACCGGTACTTCAACTGTATAAAAGCAGGAGTGCGGCTTGCGCGCAAGACTAGCTAGCAATCCAATTAATGCTGAATAAATAGCATTTTTTATGTATGAGGAATAAAAACATTTGAAAATGCTTTTTGATTAACTTATTTCTGTCCATATTCCTTCCGCAACTAGTCAATAAAAATTTTGAAGAGTTAAAAAAGTACCTGTGCTGCAAAATTGGCTTCAACTTCAGCCTTTTCGGCGCTGATTTTTTTCAAGGTTTCTGTTGTTTCTTTTTCTAATTCAATGCTCTTCTTTTGACTTGCCATACATTTAGCCCTGAATAGAGGATGGAGCTAAGCATTAAAATTGTCAATTACTTTTTACTGTAGTTTTTTACGGTTTCAGATTTACAAGTTTGACAGAAGTATTTTTTGGAGTCACAGCACTAGTCAATGAATTGTATATTAACCCTTACGGGGACAGCCTGAAGCCACTGCAACCTGTGCAGTCACAAAGCGTTTTTTCTCGTTTAATTAAACTCGCGTCTGCTCGTCCGTAAAATCGGTAAACATCAAACACGGTAATCTCAATTGGTATATTCAGGATAAGTCGTTGCGAAGTACACCTCACGGCGAAGGCTCAACATTGCACAATTTTTGCGATTTCCTGCTTTGCTATACAATTCTGTAGCGCCGAGATTTAAATATGTTACCTGAATTCAGTTATATATTCCTTCTGTTTCAACTCATTTGCTTGAAGATTTGTCGTCATTTTTTGAAGAGTTTCCGTTTTCTGAAATAATACACTGGAAGAGCGAGTGAGATTCTTAAATTTCAAATCAATCTTCTTTTTCTCTTCAGTATAAAACGTGAATTCTTCTTTATTATGCTTCTTTTCCTCTTCTAATTCATTCAATCTTTTTTCGTATCTTTCTACACAATCTTTCGCCGCGATTTCCGCAGAGCGAGTCTCGTCGACTAAATCGTTGTACCGTTTTTCAGCCTCGTCGCGCTCTAGTGCCCACTTTTCTTTTTTACGTTTCAAAACTCGTTGAATATCTGCTTCTGAGTACTTTAAAACTTCAATTATTCCGTTATCGGGCTTTAAAGCAGTAGGATGATGAAATCCGGGCGACACACTTCCAATACTGTCACTTGCAGATCCACGAGCTACATTTGAAGCCTCAAAAATGCTCTGGTCAACTCCAATTTGCGACGGACTGTCACATAACAAATCTGGTTCTCGTGGGCTGATTATAGCTGGCTCTTCGGCGACATCTTCTGGAACTGGCGTAACTCGGCCTGTGAAATCAATAATGTCGCTTTTTCGCCCGAGTAAAACAAGAGATTGTCGGTTTACGAGACCTTGTAGTAATGGATCGAATTTCATGTACAGGGATTGTTTACGAAGGTCGCCAGAGATACCACCTGGTGTTTGCTGTTCCAAAAAGTCAAGGTCAAGCTGACCTTGCTCGAGTAATTTTGAACCGTCAACAAAAGCCGAGTTCCCAAAGGTCACATCCACTTCGCGTAAAGCGTAATTCGAGGCCTGTGGCGTTGGTTCGAACACACTCACATTTGCAGAAGTGTTCAGAGCATCTAGACTTGAATCTTCTTTCACTGCTCCTTGTAAATCTTGTTGGTCTCGAGAGTTGGAGTTAGGTTTGAGCGCATTTTTGGGTGAAAATGGATCAAAATCTTCCGGGATATTATCTAGATCGAAGCTATATGCTCTGGTCCCCAAATTGAATGGATGCTTGGAACCATTTTGATTAGGACCGACTGATTCCTCATCCAAAGTACTTTGCGATTTTGATTTTGGTCTAGTTGTTTTGGGTCGAACACTCATTGGCTTCCTTATTGCAGAAGGATGTCTCAAACCACTTGTGTTAGGTTTGATTGTGACACTAGGTGTCGCACTACCCTCATTGTCGGTTTTATCTGCAATAAAAGATCCGTGGTCACTGATATCAAGTGTTGCATTCATTCCGCACATATTAGGGGTCATAATCTCTGTACCAGGGGTCATGACATTTGACCTCTGTGTCACAGTTTTCGCAATTGGACTAATCACAGCATTCGAATCACATACTTTTGAAATAGGAGTCATAATCTTTGATGCAGGGGTCATAACTTCAGAATCGGGCAAGGCGGAAGGAAGTATAGGTACTGAGATAGGGGTTATGACATTTGTCATTGAGGTCATGTCCTTTGAACCCTCAGGTTGGGTCTTGTTTGCTTTGGATATGTTGATATCAATAGCTTTATCAATCATTTCGTTGACGTATTCTTTTGCACATTCCTTGTATTCTTGGTGATCGAGTTTAGTAATGACTTCGACCCTTTCCCGCCATCGTAGATTTTCATCTAACTTTCTTAGGCTCTCCCATTTGTTGTCATTTTTATTTTTTTGTGAGATTTTTTCTTCTCTGTTTTTCGCTACTTCTTGAGACGAGACACCGGGTCTGCGAGGTGCGATTCCTTTCTTTATTGCTGGCATTCCATTCCCTGTTTTAGGGGTGTCTGTAATTTTCAAGGGAGGGACCATTTTTCGGGCCACTGCGGGTACATTTTCTGACCCACTATAGCTTCCATTCATCGGCGTATTTTCTTGCAATGCTGTGGCAGAAGGGTTCAAAATCAAGCCCCCTTTTTGTCCCAGAAGAGGGGTTCTTTTTGGGGTAATAAAACTGACTTTAAGTTGCTTATGTACAGGTGTTTGTAGCATAATAAGATTGTCTTTTTGTGAAGGTTTTAGTATTGAATTTGGCAATTTTAACGGCGATAGTTCTAATAAATCTCCCTCGGCCAATGTAGGGTTCACATTCAAGTTTTCCATGGTTGACAATAATAAGACAATCCCTGAATTTCCTAATGAAGTTCCAACTTCTAACTTAAATAAACTAGAACTGTATAAAATTCAAAATTACACTTTAAATTAATTCCTGCCATATTTTTAACTACAGCAGTAATCATTAAAAAGGTTCCATTACATTTGAACCCACGTACATTTGAACCCATGACAATTGCACCTGTATGCCATTGCACCCATGAAATTTTTTTTGTTTTTCGGATAGTTGAACCCATACTAACCCTAACCCATGGGTTTTAGCACCCGCATATTGATTGAACCCGCGAATATACACATGGGTTCAAATGTACGGTCACCATTAAAAACGGTGCGAGACAGAAGAAAACAAGGCTAAACAGTGTTTATTAGAGATCTTAAAAATACTGCTTGGTCATTCAGTTCATATAAAATGAAGATACCAATAATTCATTTAATTACCATTCTGAAAATACGCACTATAGACTACTTAAAAAAATTAAAAAATATATGAAAAATCACATTTCGGGGTGAGAGGGGATGACAAAACAGATTTTACTAAGACCAGTTTGACTGAGGAAGACGATCTGAAAACCTAAAATAAGGTTTATAATGTCAGAATTCGAGAATTGGTATAAATTCAAAACAAAAATTATTGTTTTATATCAGTAAAAAACTTATACCTGTATACAGTTAAATGGTTATGGTAACTAAAATATATACTAATATCTGGATATAAAACTCCTCATTAACAGACACATAACTAAATCATTCCCGAACACGTATTTTTACACGCACGGGTTTCTGTATTTATACAATCCCATTTCAGCATTTGTACCGTACCGTACCATACGTACCGGTACGGACCTAAGCATACATGCAACGAACGACAGTCGATATAACCGCCTTGTAAGCACATTGATGCATGAAAAAATACAATCCTTTCGAAAGTAAGTAAACTACAAAGACGAATAAATAGACCAGAACCCCGACGTCGAATATAATTAGCAACTTTCAAACTTTGCAAAATCTACCTTTTCGTATTTCCAGCCAAGAATATCATTGGGTCGCATATGTGACGTCATGACTCCTTATCGCTCTTGAGTGCCCACCTGCGGTTATGTTTTCTTGCGGGATGAAAGACTGGAAAGAGAAAGAGAGAGATTTTATTTCCACAAAAAAAAAGTTGGTGCTCCCGAAGTATGCGAACAAAGATGGCGGACATCGGAACGTAACATGGGTAACAGGTTAGGGATAGGCGAGAATTTTTTTCCAATTTTCCTTATTTTAGTCCTCTTATCAGTTCGAAGACTAGTCAAGAGCCTCCCGTAGTATTTATACCTAAAATTATGGCCTAACCCTAACCTAGTACACATATTACATTCCGATGTCCGCCATCTTGGTTCGCATACTTCGGGAGCCCCAAAATGTTAAATGAAGGCGACGATAGGATTTTGATATGAGGAGATAGTTGATAAGACGGTTGTATCATTTGACAAAACACGCCCTCTTTTCTGGTTACCAGGCAATGTAGGGTATAAAAATAGTTGATAATTTTTTATATACATAATTAAAATAGGGAATATGGGGAGAGCTGACTCTGATGACCGTATGGTGGTACCGGTATCGCTCCTTCCAGTCTATACCAAAAAACTTTACATGTGTTATTGTATATATTTTTATTGTTGCTATTTCATTATTTTTCTGGTTGACGAAAAATAAACCTCTCTCTCTTTCTCTTATTACTGGTGAATTTTTTTAATGCCGAAGAAAGTCGTAATCAGCCATCAGTTACGCGAATCACCTTGCAACGAGAGGAGTCCTCGTGTAATATGTCGCACGAGTTTCAAACATGCAAACTCACGCAGGATAAGAGTTGAGTTGGAAAGCTTATTCCTAATGCTTAGCACGATGTGCCAACCCTCAGCTGGTTTTACGCCCCAACGTTTGCTTAGAATATGAACATAATGTAATCAAATCAGTGTTTCATGTACAGGTTGTTCAGTCAACCAAGGCCACGTAAACTACCCTGCGACAACGAGGAGTTCTGCAATTTTATCGACATCGGCTAATCAACAATGTTGATGCCTCACGTCAAGAGATAAACCGTAGGCGTGGACTCTCTATGACACTGCATATGAGCTTCTTCCGCCAACCAAGTGCGAACATGTCCGTCAATGAATTAATTCATTACATAACTTTAAAAAACGAATCGTCAATTTTACGAAACACGTGCTTTTAGTTGGATGTAACGTTAAAGTAGGCTAGTAGTAACGGACATCACAACGGACGGTAAATAAACAAAAGTACTGTAATAAAAACACTAGACATACGCAACGCAACAAAAATAAACTCGTTTGAGAAAGAAATTTATTTACGCAAAAAATGTTAAAAAATACAATATTGCAGGTTTTTATAGAAATACTGTGCAGGGAACAATTTAAAAATTGAATTGCGTAGATCAGTATGCAAGAGCTTCGCAGATTATCGAGGCTTCTACAATTTTGTTTACAATGTGAACATACTTAAGAATGAATTGTACTAATATAAAATTGAATAAGACAAAAATGAGTCGGCACTCGGCATATAATTTTTTTTACGATTCGACACATTATGTCAGGTGTATTTTGAAGTGCAGAGGGCGTATGTTCCCCAGCTATTCATTTTAGGAGGGGGGCTTTAGGGAGTGGTAAATATTTTGCTACAGTGTGGAGTGGAGAATTACAGTGTGGAGTCCCACTTCAAAATTAGAGGGGGGAATTACTGGCAGAGGGCGTGTGTGAAATTAAACAATATACGACACTGTGATCGATCTAGTACAGTAGTGATCACATTCACAGAACCTGACTCGGTATAGAAAATATTACAGATTCAATCACCATGAAACATTGGCACTATCGCGTTTTTTTGAAAATAGTACTAGATCCTATTTCAATTTTCTTCCGAAAAATAACACTAGGGCTTATTTTGGGGAGATGTCTTGTGTTTTCATTTATCAAAAACAAAGTTACAAAGTAGGAATTACGAGATTTTCAAATATACAATATATGGAAACTGATATCCATTTACTTATAAATAACACGTTTTTATTCAAAATTCCTGCAAACACATAAATTACCAATCATCTAAACGTGTAGGAGAGATTCCTTGCTATCGACTAAGTCAAAAAAAAATTCGCGCTTTCGACTAGGTCTTATTTTAAGAGTACCGCTCATATTGAAACCATTTTCAAAATTCAGGATATGGCTTATATTTAGGGTAGGTATTTTTTTCGGTGAAACACGGTATATTACATCTAAATAATCATATCTGACTTTCAAAACTATCGAAGCGTTTCAAAAGACAAATTATTGCAAATAAGTTTGGGTGTTCCTTATTTTCTAAAAATTCCAGGCGCTTTTTGTAGAAAGTACACTAAACTTGACTTTCACATTCATATCACGGTTAGGTGAAACTTTGAAATCTAATTTTACTTGTGTAACGTCAAAAATACTCATTCACGTGGACAAGTTTACGGTCGGGTTTTACAAATCGAACTGAATACTCGAAAGCTCATCGGAATTGTTGTTTGAATTTATAAAAATAATTTTTTGCAAGTTTTAAAAAGTATTTTAAACCCTAATTAGATTTGATCATTCATATATAATCAATGAATAACGTCACTATTGTATTGTTGATGAATGAAATCATCCGAGACTTGACTGCAGAATTTTCTTCATGATAAATTTACAAGGTCCTCGATCTTCCTCTAATTATATATGTATTAACCGTTTTATTTGCTTCAAATATCGCTTGTTTCCAGCCTCGGCAGTTATCCACTGGTATGTTCTGGCTGTTATCTTTCAGTAGAAATTTTCGATGTGACAAACAATATCCAACCAGCTCAATATATAGGATGTTGAGTTAACAATGCTAGTATTTATTAGATAGCCTCCTACATTGCATGCAAAACAAAAAAAATGTTATAAAATGAACTTACTAGTAGTCGAACCCCAGACCTAAAACCTGAAAATATCAAATAAGATTCATTACTTTAACCATCTTATAGCCAAATCCCAAAAATATTCTGTAAGAGATCTATGCAACTCTCCAATGCGTATCTTTTTTTATTCCTTTTTTACATACGTTTAACTGTGAATCTTAATAGTGAACTTGGATGAAGCTGACTCTGATGACCTTATAGTCGTATCGCTCCCTCCAGTCTATACCGAATCAACTTTGTGTATATTGTATGTATTTTTTCGTTTGTTTTCTGGTTGACAAATAATAAATCTCTCTCTCTCTTATATTTCGATCAATAACTGGGCCTTGGCCGGTATTTAGTAGCACCGATTCTGCACGGACGTCGTGTTGTGCGCGATGCTGTTCGCTGTACATTCTTGTTGAGTTTCCTTCCGTCTGCGTTTTTCCATATTACCGTACCGGTGTAGGATTTTCGCTTTAGGTTTCGGTAGCGGTACCGGTGTGTGATTTGAGTTTGTTAAATTTTACAGTTACTGTAGTTTCCATTTCCTGTTATATTGGATTATTTGGATGACACCCGTGTCGAGTTACCGTACGGTACGTTACCGGTGAACCAGCTTCCAGAGCTTAAGACACAGTTCAGCAGCCGGGCATAACTGTATGGTACGGTATCCGTGATTCAGTGCCTGCGGCCACAAGTTTGCAGTTTTTGTCGTTTGAAAACTATTGAATTTATTATGGCTTGCTTATCAGCTTCTGACAGTATGGTATCCGCAGTCCGTAATCTTAAACCAGTAAACCCATCCACTCTATCTCAATAAATATCTTTCAGTTTTGTGATCAACCATATAATTCTGGATCTGTCTCTTCCAAAAATAGTACCAGTAATTTTTTTGTCTTACAGTCAGCAGTACCTGTCGCTGTCAGTAGGTAGTGCTTTTATACACAGATACAGTTATGTTTGAAAAAATTACCGTTTTTACTATTCAAAATATCTAAGATGGATATGATGATTTGTAATTCTATTTTTTCCACAGAAATATAGTTTAATACAAAATTCCGATTATTTCAATCTAAAATGGTGATAATTGAAAAGCTAGACTCGTTGAGAATATGGCTTGTGA